GCCCACCCTTCGCTGCCTCCCGCCCCCAACACACGCAGCTGCTAGGTATGCGTGTCCGACTCAAATGCTACCTCTTGGCAAAGGCAGCTGTCTCTAGCGCACTAGATGGCTTTACTTTTTAAATACACGTATCAGGGTGTGATGTTATTTTCTTTGTGTTTTGTTTATCACCGCTTCCCTGGACCCGAATCCGAGCTCCCTGAGGACAGGGACCGTGTCTGCATTGCTTCCGGCTGTGTGGCCAGGGCCCGGACCAGTGCCGGGGACACGGGAGAAACCCAGTCACCACTTGCCAACTGAGCGGGCTTGCTGGCCCCTGGGGGACAGGTGGCGGGTTGTGACGAGTGACCCAGGACTCAACAGCCTGGAGGAAGGCAGTAGAAATGATTTCGGGGGGGGGGGGGGTTCTGGGACTTCCTTGCAGGGGAGGGGGGGTTTGAACTGCTACAAGAGCAGGCGGGCCCTTCTTGAGGAAATCGGTAGTGCTCGTGTGTGAGGCAGATGACAAGGACGAGGGAATCGCCGGGGTTTGCGGTGGCTGCGGTATAAGGTCTAGGCGTGGGGCGCTGGGGGCAAGGGAGAGGAGCTTGTAAAGGTAGACAGACTGGGCCCTGCCATGAAGGGTCTTGTTATGGACCGAATTGTGTCCCCCCCAAGGTCCCTATGTTGATGTCCTAATCCCCTTCTGCACCTCCGGAAGTGACCGTATTTGGAAACAGGGCCTCTAAAGAGGTCACTGAGGTTAGACAAAGATCATGGGTGTGTCTCAATCCAATACGACTGGTGTTTTTATAAAAAGAGAGACACACAAGAGACACTGTGCACATGGAGAAGAGACCAAGGGAAGAGCCAGCACGAGGGCAGCCACCCGCAAGCCCAGGAGGGAGGCCGTAGAGGGACCCAGGGCTGCCGGCACCTTGACCTGGGACTTCAGCCTCCACAGCCCGAGAAAATGAAGTCTGTTGTTGGGACTGCCCAGTCTTTAATCTTTTGTGTTATGGCAGTCCTCGAACACTAACACAGGTCTTAAGTTTTTTTAATTTTAATTTTAAATAGTGATATAGTCACCTGGTTCAAAATCAAACATAGGAGGCAAGAACGACCAGGTGATCAAGGTGAACATCAAAGTGACACATCAAGCGGATAGCGGTGCCCTTCTCATGATGTGATGAGAGCAGCACTTTTCTCTGTTGTGTGCCAAAAACAAACAAAAAAGGGGGAAAAACAAACAAAAAAGGGAAAAAAACAAAACAAAGAAACTCACAAACCTCAATCTAATCATGAGAAAAATACCAGATAAGCCTCGAGTGAGGAACATTGTACGAAACACATAATTAGTTCTCCTCAAAGCTGTCGAGGTCAAAAAAACCAAAGAAAGTCTGGGGAACAGGCACAGCCCGGAGGAGCCGGAGAGACCTGACCACTGAGTGTGACATGATGTCCTAGATGGCCCCCGGAGCAAAGGACACTGGGTAGAAGTATGAAAATCGGAGTGAACTGTGGACTTGACTTAATGTGGGGTTGGCCAAAAATCCACTAGGTTTTTTTCTGTATGATGGTCCTCCTAGCGCTCAGTTGTCTTTAACTTCATTAAAACAATTTTGCTATTGTGTTGTGACAGCTGTGTATCAGTGTGCATTAAAAAAATGTATCAGAATTGGTGAATTTTTGTGTAGCCCTGTTAACATTGACGATAGAAGATGTGCAACATTTTTGGCATAGTATGCTTCATTATTTCAAGAAAGGTAAAAACCCAACTGAAACACAAAAAAAGATGTGTGCAGTGTGTGGGGAAGGTGCTGTGACTGATCGAATGTGTCAGAAGTAGTTTGTGAAGTTTCTTGGTGTTACTGCCATTTTGGCCAACTAACAGCCGTGGGGCTGCCTCGCGCACTGGAGGGTGTTGAGCAGCGCCCCGGGCCCCCACCCACCGGAAGCCCATAGCGGGAGACAGCCGACACCCTCGAAATAGCCAAATCAATAACGTTGTTGGTGAAAATGAAAAATATGTCTTTTGTTTTACAGAAAAAATGTATCAGACTTTTTGGCCAACCCAATAACAATGATTCTATATTGATTCATTCCTTGTAATGTATGTACCATATTAACATAAGATGTTAATAATAGGAAATAGCGCAGGGGGACGTAATATTGGAACTCTGTATCATCTCTGCAATTTTTCTATAAACCTAAAAAGTGGTTCTAGAAATAAAATGTACTTTTGACAAGTAGTACCGAAAAGCGGGGCTCCAAATTCCGTCCCTCGCCCACCCAGCCCTCATCCTCACCTCCAGGCATCGCTCTGTTAGTCGTCTGCGGGTCCCGCAAGGATGCCTTTGTGCGAACTGAAACCACACGGACTTTTCTCCCCAAATGGCCCTTTTATTTCCTTTAAAGAGCATTTAGTCATTTCAGTACAAAACAGTTCAAACACACAAAGTAGAGGGAAGATATAGCGCGCCTGACACCCGGCGCCCATGCTGAACAACTACCGAGAATTCGCTGTGCGTGTTTCAGCCAGTGCTCTCTCCCTTTGCTGTGCTGTTTCAGGTAAACCCCAGACCCCTCACACAGGCACGTGTGCATCTCCAAACGCTGTGGACATTTTCCATCACCCTCGGTTCGCACCCCCCCACCCACGGTCACTCTTGAAGGGCTCCCTGCGACTGCAGTCTGGGTGACAGGGACACAGCAGAGCTCTGCAGGGCAGGAGTGTGTGCGCGTGGCCTAGTTATGCCTGCGCGTGGGGTGGCCTGGGCGTGGAGGAGGTTAGGGCTGGCGGCGCATTCAGGAACGCCCTTTGGTCTAGATGCCAGGTGATAGGGCCTGATGCCAGGCATTTGCAGCCGAGAGACAGGGAGGAGGAGGGCCGGCGGGAGATTCTCTGTGGGGAGCCAGGGACCATCCAGGCCTCAGATGGGCGCCCTCCTGGAGGCCAGAGGGGACCGCGATGTGCGGGTGGGCCAGCTGCCCCTGTTCGCGCACACGGGTCCTGCAGGGAAGGGCGCGACCCCACGCCAAGGCTCCCCTTCCCAGGAGAGTGGGCTCTTCTTGCTCACCTTGCCCCAGGGGACACTTCTCTGCAGATCCCTGGTGAGGCCTGTCCCTGGCCTGGCTCAGCAGGCCAGGGACAGGGGCCCCTTCAGGACTCGTGCGCATTAGCTGTCACAGCAGGAAAGCCCCCCTGGGGTCAGGGAGTCCCACCCCTCCCGGGTTTCAGATGGGGAAACCGAGGCCCAGAGAAAGCGTGCACAGGGCCCCGTGGGGAGTCAGAAGCAGAGCTGGAACTAGGGCCTCCCATCACCTAGGGCTTCCTCTCCCATCCAGCCCCTCCTCCCAGAAGGTCGCTGACAGTAGCCGCTGACGCCCCGTGTGTGAGAGAATTCGAGAGTGCCTGGGTGATCCTTCTCCCAGGCACCCTTGCACACTAACCCTGCCTACTCATGATGGCACCACTACAGAAAACTGCTACTTATGGAACAGCCACCGCATTCCACAGGCTGTGCTAGGAGCTCTCCATACACCATGTCTGCACTCCCCAAATCCCAGGAGGCGGGGCACTGTTATTACTGTACCGTCCCATTACGGAGATGGGCAAAATGAGATACAGCAAGTCGTAGCTGGCCTATGGTCGCACAGTGAGGGCGTGGCAGAGGCAGTGTCTCGCTGGAAAGTCTACACTCTCGGCCTCTAACACGCACATGCTCCACGGCCCTGAAAACAGGGTGGCTCCCTGTGAAGACAGTGGTTTCTGCCTGGCCTCCTCCCTCTTTGCACCCAGCCCCACCCAGCAGCTGGGAACCTTGTGGAGGGGCAGATTACAGACGGACCCTGATCACCACTTGCTACGCAGGGCCCTTCCCAAGGTGGTTTATGGCCTTTGGTGTTTGGAGCCATAAACAGACCTCCACGTTCCGGGTGTTCGGGGACGTTTCAATGATGCCGTGGCGTACATGGAGCACAGACTCATCTCTGCCAGGGTTCAAGTGACTGGCACAGTGTGGAGGACACAGAAGGATGCCTGCCCACTGGTCAGTCTTTCCTAGGGCCTGCTCCATGCCCTGCGCTAGGCTCTGGACCCAGGGTGATCCTGCCCAGCGCTCGGTCACTCAGGCACGCAGGCCACAGGTAAGGGTGTCACAGGAGACACAGCAGTCAGGAGAGACCTGGAGCCCGGAGAGGAAGGCTGGACCCTGCCCTGGGACGTTGGAGCCACGAAGGTTGCTGGCACAGGTGGGCACAGGAGGTATGGGCCGGGCGCACCGCCCGGGTGAGGGGCCAAGGCTGCAGGGCGGGGAGTCCTGGAAGGGCCCCGGGCCTAGGGAGCGGGGCGCTGGGAGCGGCAAGACGCGAGCTGCGGGGCGATCAGCTGTCCAGGGCCCGCAGCGCCAGGCGCGTTCGTGGGTGCACACTGAGCATTGCAGAGCCGGGTCACGCAGATGGTTCCAGAAGCACCCACGCCCCTCGGACCAGGCCCCTCGCCTGCAGTCCCACGGGGCGCGGGGAGCAGGGCTCAGGTCGCAGTCAGACGCGGGTGCGTCCCGCCCCCCCGCCAGCCTCCTGTGCCCACAGTTCGAGTCCTGGCCTTGATGTGGCTCTCTGCAGGGTCCTGGCCGGCCCCTTCCCTCTCTGGGACGCCGTTTTCCCGTGCCCGGGGTCTCGAAGAGCCCGAGTTCCCGGTCCCGCACGGCCCCGAGCCCGCAGGCCGGCACACCGGGCGCGGCAAGGCCCCCGCGTTCTCAGCGCCCCCGCCCCTCCCCCCACGAGAGCGCGGACGCGCACGGGCGCGCTCGCACCTGGCCGTGGCTGAGAGCGAGGTTGAGCGGGCGGGGCCTAGGAGCCCCGCCCTCGCCCCGCCCCCAGCCCCCCGTCGGGCCAATCGGAGGGGGCGAATGGCCCCGTGCGGGGCGACGCGCTGGGGGCGGGGCCAACGGGGGCTGAGGAGAGCGCCCGCGGGCGGGCAGGCGGGCGGCGGGAGGCGGTCGGGCGGAGGTGGCGGCGACGGTGGAGGCAGTGGGTCCCGGGACAGCGACGCAGCGCCGCGGCGGCTCCCACAGGCCGTCCAAGCTCCGCAGCCCGCCGCAGCCGCTGCCTCGCCGCTGAGGGCCCGAGAGCGCGGCGGCGGCGCGCGGCCTGTGAGGGCGGCCGGAGCGGCGGGCGCGGCGCCGAGCGTCCTGTCAGGCGGCGGAGGGCGTCGCGGATCCGCGTCGCGATGATGCCGGTGAGTGCGGGCCGCCGGCCAAGCCTCCTTCCTCCCGCGCTCCTCTCCTCGGGCCCTGCGCGAGGCCGGGCGGGCGGGCGGGCGGGAGGGCGGGGAAGGAAGTGGCCTGGCGGGCGCGCCCGGCCCCGCGACCCGCGGGCGGGCAGGTGGGGGGCGCGCCGCGCTGTCAGCGTGGGGACGCGGGGGACGCGGGGGGCGCGGGGCGGTGCGGGTCCGAGGACGGGGGCGGGCGGGCCGCCCTGCGCCGCGGGGACCCCGGCCGGCGCCCCCTCGGCCGCGGCCCTTCCTGCCCGGGAGGGGCGGCAGGGCGTGAAACCGGGGCCCGTCGTTTTCCGTCCGTCTTGGCGGGCAGGAGCCGCGAGGCCGTGGGCGCGTGGCGCTCGCCGCGCCCGCGGCCGGCGGGCCGGCCACCCGCCTGCAGTGCGCTGGGCTCGCATTGCCGGGGTCGGCGGCGCGGCCCCCGGTGGCGGCCCCGCGCCGGAGCCGCCGCTCCCCGCAGCCCTCCGCGAGCTCGCTGCGGGACGCGGCTGGGGGCCCGCTGGCGCGGCGCGCGGGGGCGGAGCGGGCTCCCCGCGCCGGCGCCGCCTTTGTCCGGCCCCCGGGGTGCGGGCCACCCCCAGGCCCGAGACCTCGGGCGCTCGCCGTCCTCGGGGCGCCGCGGCGCCAAGCGATAACGGGGCGATCGGCTTCTGGGAGCCGAGTGCTGCGACCTGGCGGCGCGGGCGGACGGCGCTGCCCAGAGCGACGCACGGGCTTCCTGGGCGCCCGTGCAGCCGCAACGGTTCTCGGACGCGGCTGGAGAGGAGGAGACGAGTCCGCCCCCCGCCGCAGCCGCCGCGCCGGGAAGCCGGGCTCTGCCGCCCGCGCCCAAGGACGCCGGGACGAGCGTGCGTTTCCCGGCCTTCGGAGCCACTTCCTCTCCCGGCGGCCGCCTCGCCGCGGGCGCGCCGAGCCCAGCACATCCTGTTTGCCGCCTCGGAGGCTTCACCTGGCTGATCTCAGATCCTCCTCTGGCACCGGCTGTGCCGTGTTGCTAAACGCTCGGATTTCCGTGAATGGTTGTGGGGCGATGGAAGGGGAGCCGGGGCGCATCGGGAGACGTGGAGTCGGTACTGGCTCTGCTGCTTTTCAGCCGTGTGACCTTGAGCGAGTCAGGGCCTCCCGGCCGGGAATTCGCGGAGACGGGAACAGGCCCGCGTCCCTGGGCCGCCCTGCGATCCACGAGGATGCTGTGTCCGCAGCGGCTGCAGACAGAGCGCCCTGCAAATGCCGGTGGTGGTTACTGGGGCTCCGAAGTGTCAGGTCCTAATTTTAGCCCCTGCGAGATGCGGCATCCGAAGCGGTCGCCTCCCCGGTTCCCACGGGCCGGGCTGGGGGGTCCGAAGGCGGCTCAGTCACCGCGCCGAGGGCCCCGGAGGGTTGTGTCGGCGCCGTCGTCACGCAGAAGGAGGGCCGCAGCCTTTGACTGACCGTGTCACTGTGTAATGTTTGATTCTGAACACTCTGTTTGAAAAGAAGCTCGGTGTGTGTGTTTCCGTGGGTCCATTCAGAGGCTTCACCTCTGTTCCATATGGTTCCAGTGTCTGGTCTCTGCCTCACCAGCCTTCCTTTCGGAAGGACCTCGCCTAGCTTGCGTTTGGCCAGTTTCTTCAAGATACTGAAAATAATCAAGTATCAGATACTGCTTTTAAAAAACACGTGGGTCTATTAACTATTTAAAACACTCTGCTTTTGTCTTAACATGCCTTCTAGAAACAGATGGTATTTCTTTCAGTCCCTCTTGGTGGCCTTCAACTTTATATTTCCTTCTTGATCCCTAAAAATACTCCTTGTCGGATCGACTCCTTCCTCTGTGAACACAGTTGGGGCTGACTGTAAATTTAATGGACGTTTAAATAACATGCGAGTCTTCCTTGACACTATTTTAAACTACAGATCCAAGATATGCGTGAGATTTCTTTCCCTTGTGTATGCTGTGCTCGTCGCCGCGGTGAACCATCAAGGTGGAGTGGGGTCATGTGTCGCAGTGTGTAGAGAGCAGCCCTTCCAGCAGGGGTGTCATGTGAGCCACGCAAACACAATGTTAAGTTTTCTAGTAACTACCTAGGAAAGGTGGCATTTTAAAAGTGTCTTTTATTAACTCCTCAAAAATACTCTTAACATGTTCTCAACATGACACATTTGCTAATGCGCTATTTACTTTTCTGTACTAAGGCTTTGAAATTCGGTGTGAATCCAGCGTGAACCGGTCAGGTCTCGCGCCTCCTGCACATCGCGGCCGGCCGCTCAGCGGCCGGCCGGCCGGCCGTGTTTAGCGGCAGCGCAGGCCTAGCGGGGGCGTCCAACCCCCGCCCACGGGCCACGTGCGGCCCAGGGTGGCTGTGAATGCGGCCCAACGCAAAATCATAAATTGACTTAAAACCTTTTTGGCTCATCAGTTTTCATTAATGTTTGTGTATTTAATGTGTTGCCCAAGACAGCTCCTCGTCTTCCAGGGCGGCCCCGGGACACCAGGCGCTGGATACCCCTGGTAGAGTGTACAGGGTCTGGCTGGAGGAGTGAGGCCTGCTTGAGTGGGGTCGATAGGGTAATAACGTGGGTGTAATACTGTCTAGTTTTAATTTGAACACTTCACCTAAAATGTCATATAGCATGCTTGAGTGTGATGCTTATTGTTATGCTACAGAATTGCATGCTTATGGTTTTGTAATAAAAGATCTTGTAATAAAAGGGGGGCGTGATTTGTGCCAAACCCGGTATTTCAGTTTGAGAATTGGCAATTAGTGTGTAGTGTCTGTGGCGCCTTTGAATTGGTCACATGGTTCACCACAGCGCCCAGCCTCTCAGGTGTTGGGAATAAATGAGACAGTATCTGGCTGTGTTCTCAGCTGACACATTAAGGTCTTTGTAGAAGTCTTCAGTTTGCCCCTACGCAGAGTTCGATGACTGTCTACTTTTAAACAATTCTATTTTAGAATTTTCCCGGGTCAAAATAGTTTGGCATGCTAGTACCTGTAGTAGTTCACTTTTTGTCAGTGAGGGACATTTAAAGATTTCTCAAGAAACTAATGGGCTATATTTTATTTTTATTTTTAATTTGTGTATTTTAGAGAGAAAGAGGAAGTGGGGGAGAGAGAGAGAGAGAGAGAGAGACTGATCTGTTGTTTCACTCATTTAGACATTCATTGGTTGATTCTTGGATGTGCTCAGAGTGGGACCCGCAGCCTTGGCAAACAGGGATGACGCTCTAACCACAGAGATACCTGGCCAAGGCCACAGCTGGTAAACATCTTTTTGGGCGTAGGTGGAAAGTATCGGGAATGTCGCTAAGGATACCCTTTCTCTTCCAAGGGAAGTTAACATTAAGTAAGCGTGAAAGTTGCATGGCCCTGAAGTGAGTCTTATTCGTCAGACAGGCTCTCTCTCCGGGGGCAGCGCTCTGGTCATGCTGGCTGTGGGGCTGCCCCCCGGCAGGCGCCCCAGTGTGACCGGCTGATGCTGCCCACGTCCACCCTGCGAGCCCTCTCAGCCTTGCACTGCAGGCCGTGGTGTGTGTGACTTCGTGCTTCCTGGTGGGTTGGCCAGAAATCCGTTAGGTTTTTTTCCATAAAATAGAAGACACCTTTTTCGTTTTCACCAATAACCTCATTGATTGGGATGCTTTGAGTAGGTCGGCTGTGCCCCGCTGTTGGCTTCTCATGGGTGGGGACCGGGGGTGGGGGGCGCGCTGCTAAACACCGTCCAGTGAAGAAGGCAGCCCCACAGCAGTTATTTGGCCAAAACGTCCACAGTCCCAAGAAACATTACAAACCGCTTTTGACACCTTCAGTCGCAGCACCTTCTCTGTACACAGCACAAATCTTTTTCCTGTGTTTCAGTCCCATTTTTACCTTTCTTGAAATAGTAGAGCACAATATGCCAAAAATGTTGCGTACCTTCTTCCATCTTCAATATTCAAATGGCCATCGCCAATTCTGATAAGTCTTTCTTAAGTGCACGCTGATAGGACAGCCATCACAATACAGTCTAACCAAATTGTTTCAAAGGAAGGTAAAGACAGCTAAGCGCTAGTAGAGCCATCATATGGAAAAAATGGAAGGGACTCTTTGGCCAACCCAATATTTCATTCCCATTCAACAAACAAACATTTTTTTGAGGAGAAGCCTGTTGTACTGACATCATATATTTCAGGTGGTCACTGTCTTCCCCACTGCGTTGAAACAGTTGGCATTACTGGACCAGGTCTTTCTCTCTTTAAACCATCGGCTGTCGTGTGATTGATAAAACAGGGAACTGCAAGGTGGGAGACTTAGCTCCTCATCCTCTCTTGTTACTAACGTGTGGCCTTTGGACTTACACTCTTCGGGCCTCCATTTCTCATCGGTAGAGTGAGTGGGTCCTGGGGGCCACCACACAGTGACGGCTGGCCCTGCACCTGCGTCACAGCAGACATTTTCAGGAAGGTCAGCCGTGCCCGTGCCGGCTGCCGCGAAGGCCGAGGCGCCCTGACGCACTTGGCTGCGGCAGCCTCAGGGAAGCTGCCTGAGCGCCTGTGTGACAGCGTGGACAGGGCGCGCTCGGGCGCTGTTGGCCGTTATTGTCAGTTAATAATTGAGTCCCCTCATAGGCGCAAATTTATAGCCTAACTCAGGAAACAGTAAGACTAGACAGGTTTTTCTTAAAAGTCTAATTTTTTTTAAACAAAAATGACAAACACCGCATTACCATTTAAAAATATAAAACTGTTTCTAGCCTTTGGACTGCCCAGGAGTTCATAAGGAAAAGCGAAGCCTTGAACACCGAAAGATGTGTCTATCAAAGCTTTCATTATTAGTTTTATTGAACTTAAATATAGTCTGTATACCTCTTCTAAAGGCCGCAGCGTTGAGTGCAGCCATAAAGCTTTGCAGCTCTTCAGCTCCCCACGATGCGGTTCAGCAGCCGCGACCCCTTGGGGAACGGCGTTTGTCGCTTGGGGTTTGTCAGTGGTGTGCAGAGGC